TAAACCCTAAACCCTGAATTCCAAAAAAAACAACCTGAACCCTAAACTCCAAAAAAATCCTAAGCCCTAGACCCTAAACTCCAAGCCCCTAAACCCAAAACGCTATAGCAAACACAACCGGAAAACCCTAAACCGACTCTGTTTGCGGCCAAAAGGCTCGGGTAGACGGGCGAGCGGTCCACAAACTGCTCGGGCGTCTGAAGCGGAGCCATTTTCCTTGTTAGGGTTTGGGGTTTGGGGCTTGCCCGATCACGGAAAGGAAGCCCTGAACGTTGAACCCAAAGCCCTAATTAAACCGCAAATGTCACGCCCTCAAGTCAAGCTTGCACCCTAACTAACCCGAAACCCTAAACCCTATTAAACCCTGTTAAACCCTATTAAACCCTATTAAACCCTATTAAACCCTATTAAACCCTAACAACCCTATTAAACCCTATAAACCCTGTTAAACCCTATAAACCCATTAAACCCTATAAACCCTATAAGCCCTATAAACCCTACTAAACCCCCTAAACCCTATAAACCCTACAAGCCCTAAACCTATACACTCCACAAAAGCCTCAAGCAGCGCAAGGCTCCTCAGATCTGCGAACTGCTCTTGCGAATCGCAGAAGGGCAGCGGAATATCCTCGGTTGCTGACGCGGCTAGGTTTTAGGATGTTGCGGCTTTTGGGGCTTGAGGTGCTTTAATTAGGGGTTATATAGGTGCACTGCGAGCAATGTGCCCTGATGAATTGGCGGTCCCTTCACAGGGGATCCATACATTCAGGATTCTACTCTTTAGAGCTCACCACAAACCCCGAATCCCCGAACCCCTGAAAACCTATGTAAATTCGGAACAGAGGCCGCAAACCTGAAACCTCAAACCCCTTCCCACCTCCCAAAGCCCGAGGCTTTCACCCACTCTATTGCAGCTTCTGGCAAACCCGCCCGGCACAGCCCACACCAACTAGTCCCAAGTCCAAAAGGAAGCTCCGAGCCGCACATCCTGGAAGCCTCAACCCCCAAACCCCAAACCCCAAACCCTAAACCCTAAACCCTAAACCCTAAACCCCAAAAACTCCTCGAAATCTCGGGGGTCCATCGGGCTCTCGAGGTGTTGGGGAACTTCGTGGGACCCAGGGTTGATGGCTTAGGGTTTTAGGCTTCAGGGGTTTAGGGTTTAGGGTTTAGGGTTTAGGGTTTAGGGTTTGGGGCTTGGGGTTTTAGGGTTTAGGGTTTAAGGTTTAGGGTTTGGGGCTTTAGCGTTCAGGGTTTAGGGTTTATAGGGTTTAGGGTTTTAGGGTTTAGGGTTTAGCGTTCAGGGTTTAGGGTTTAGGGTTTGAGGCTTAGGGTTTAGGGTTTCGGGCTTCGGGGCTTAGGGGCTCAGGGGATTAGGGGGAAAAAGGAGAGGAGAAAGGTCGGCAAGCGGCCGGCAGGTCCGCATAGCTCTGGAAGCTCTGCGGAAACAGGCCCGGAGCCTGTGGCGCCTGAACGCAGGAGCCGCAACGATACTTGTGGTTCGGCGTGCCTACGGATCTAAGAGGGTTTATAAGGACCAGGGTTTAGGGCTTTTAAGGCTTCGCTTTCAGGGTCCAGGGTTCAGGGCTAGGCTGGGCATACTGTATTCCAGGATTCCAGGGAATACTGGAGATAAGTCAGAGCCCAGGGCCTCGGGCAGCTCGGGCTGAGTTTCGGAGTCGGCCTTGGGCTAAAGGGGCTTCAGGGTGCTCCATTTCCTGAGCTCTACAGCAAGAAGCCCCGACCCTCAACCCTAAACCGTGTGCGCCCAAATTTTCTGGACTTTATACTGCAAATCTTGAAGCCCACGACGAACCCGAAATCCTAAAACCTCAACTGAAGCCCGACTTGAAACCTTGAACCCTAAAACCCCCGACAGCTCCCCCGACAGCTCCCCCGAAGAGCACGAACCCTGGAAACCCTGAAGCCTGCTTCACACATCTTTGAGAAGCCGAGGAGCATGACTTGAGCGGGGAAAAGGCTCAAATCCGAAGATGCCTGGCGACACCTCAGGGGCTTTGAGGCTTAGGCCTAGTAGGGGTTTAGGGCTACTGAAGGCTGGTCTGGGGGTTTGGGCTTTCGGTTGACTTGCCCGCAAACCGAAGGGAACGTCGGCCCTTGAGCCCCGGGAGCCCTGAACAGCACATATGGGTAGTTCTCTAAATTAGGGTCCCTTTTTGGGTCCTTGTTATAATACGGCACCTATTATTTAGGGTACCCCAAAAAGGGACCCTAATTTTGACAACTACCCATATGCGGAGAGGTCCCGGGCTTGTCGCCGCGAGGCTCGAGGCTCTCTGGATCCAAAAACTTACCGTTTTAAGGGTTAGACCCGCTAATTAAGGGGTCATAACGTCATAACCTACTATTTTGTAGGGTTTGGGGATACAGGCTTTGTCTGTAGGAGGAGGGTGTGCAGGTTGAAGTTTTGGGGACGATGAAGTTAATGAGCCCTCCGTCAGGTTCGGAGGCCTCCCGGGTCTCGAACCGAAACAGAAAGCAGCTAAGGGCTGTCCATACCCTAAACCCTACACCCTATAAACTCTAAACCCTGAGCTCTGGCCTTCATGGGGCTGTCCATGTTGCAGAGAATCATCCTTCCAGCGGCGTCCATCTGATGGAACTGACCTACGACTCTTCGAGGGATTCCTGCCAAGCTTGTGCCAACACCTGCGCAGAGGACCTGTCTTCAAGCGCGTCGGCCCTACTGCGCCAGAGCTGAGGTGAAAGGTAGAGGCGCGGTGAAGATGTTAAGGGATGAAAAGACGTATAGACTTAGGGTGCCATGCTTTGGGAACCGGTTTTTTTTGGGGGAGTGCAGGGTTGAGGCATCTTAGTTGAGGGGATCGCACGCTACACAGTGAAGTGTGCTCGTGGAACGCCTGGTGCATGAAGAGCCCTGACGTGGTGTCTTGAGGGATGGATTCTGGGTGTGAGGTCTAGTGCCGAGCTTACGTCTTGGCTTGGGATTGTAAGGGTTCCGGGTTTCACAGAAGCCCAATCACACCATCGCGCGCTCTGGGCTTTGAATTTTTGACTCGGGCTTCAAGCCTTGTACCCCGTGACCCCAAACCGGACTCTGTGTTGTAAGGTGACTGGTTTGCTCTGATGTTGTGGCCAGCATACGAGTGTCCAAAATCTTCGTCAGCAAAAGAGTCGGGATCGCAACATCTCGGAAGCCAGGACCCTGGGTGCATGGCTTCAACCTCCAATCATGGCTTCGACCTCCAATCATCGAAGCCCCATACCCCTAGAGCCTGGGGTGGGAGAACTGCAATCATGGGAATTACTGTGTTCCCCAAAAGATATCTGAGCTGCTGTACATACGTCCCATGATCCCGAAAGCCTTCGTAAAGCCCTATGACAGCCCACCACAAAAACCGAGAAAAGCACTCTTCTCATCTCATGACCCCCCCAAACCCTAAACCGACCCCTAACCATAAACCCTAAACCCTCAACCCAAAAAGAGAATCCTTGAACACCGACCAGCTCTAGGAAAGGGCCTCGCGATGGTAAAGGGCTGTCCAGAGGTCCCGGGTCTTCCTCCACGTGGCTTCTTGGGGTTGTTTAGGACTTGGGTTTTTGGGGTTTAGGGTTTAGGGCTTAGGGTTTAGGGGTTAGGGTTTAGGTTTTAGGGTTTTTAGGGTTTAGGGTTTAGGGTTTAGGGCTTAGGGTTTAGGAGTTAGGGGTTAGGGTTTAGGGTTTAAGGGTTTAGAGTTTAGGGCTGAGGGGTTTCGGGTTTAGGGTTTAGGCTTTGCGAGAGCTTTGGGCTTTGGGGTGTCGGCGCTTGGGGCGGTTTGGGATTTAGGGGCTCGGGCTTAACTTGAGGAGTTAGGCTATCAGGTTTAGGAGGTAAGGCTGTGCTCAAGAAACCCTCAACCCTAAACCCAAACGGTTCTAGGTTCTATTCGTCGTTCTGGCGAGCTCTGCCCTCTCGGATTTCAGGGGAGTCCCTAAACCCTAAACCCTAAACCCTAAACCCTAAACCCTAAACCGTCTTACAAAAACGGAGGACGGCCAGAGACCCCCAAAGTCCCCCAAAGGCCCGAAACCCCGTCAGGGGCTCCTCGACGTGAGCCGGAGCATGCCGGAACATGCCTGAATTTAGGGTTTAGGGTTTAGGGTTTAGGGTTTAGGGTTTAGGGTTTAGGGTTTAGGCTTTAGGGTTTAGGGTTTAGGGTTTAGGGTTTAGGGTACCATCGCAGGTGGGAGCTTGGGCTTTTTTTCGGGCTCCCGGGTTCAAGTCCTGTTTGGCTTAAGGTCTGCACTCTGCGGGCTTTTGCGACTCTGGTGTCTAAGGCCTCATGCAACGCTACAACATGATGGAGCCTCCAAACACTCAGGGTATCCGTCCTGCTTGTATCAGCCTACTGACGAGGGGTTGGGAGCTTTAGGGCCTCGAGGTTCCCCACAGACGCCCTCCTCCCAAGGCCCCACAAGCGGCCTGAAGACCAAAGACGGCTCTGATCCGAGGCCCGGGCCACGGCGTAGTAGGATTGGGCTCCGGGTTTCTTGTGGGCTGTGGCCACCACCTGGCTCGCTCGGAAGCAGGAGTTTTTGTTGGCGGTCTGGGGCTTTCCATGACAGGAAAGAAAGCTCCGAATTCCTGGGATCACGCACTGCTGGGTTTCTCGGCTATGGCGAGCTTTCGGGTCTGTCAGCACACACGGCACACACATCCAGACGGCTTTCCGTTTACTGGCTCTGCGACTTTGTGCGACTGCATCCTAACGGTACTGAGGGTTGCTCACTTAAAGCCCGGGAATTCAGGGCACAGGCCTCACTCCGTAGTTTCTGGCTTTGGGTTGGAGGGCTTTGGTCTCCCGAGGTCTCCAAGCTGAACGGGGGGTTCGCTCCCCACTTTTGGGGCTTTCGATCGGGTTCCAAGATATTTCGGGGGTGTCGGGCTGTGGTCGCTGTAGGGATTCGGGTGCGTTGGTCTTTCAAGGTCCAAGAGCCAGGGGGGTTGAGAGTAGAGCAATGGTGCAAAGCATGCAAGAGGAATAAAGGTCCGAGACCCGCCTCGTCGACCACTCGAAACACACAAACCCCGCTACGGTGCACATCCCTGCTACCAAGAACCCCGAAACCTAAAGATGAACCCAAACACGATAACCAAGGCTCTTCTAAACCCTAAACCCTAAACCCTAAACCCCAACATCGAAACCCCTAAACCCCAGACCCCAAAACCGAAACCTCTAAACCCCGGACCCCAAAACCGAAACCTCTGAACCCCGGACCCCAAAACCGAAACCTCTGGACCCCGGACCCCAAAACCGAAACCTCTGGACCCTTGACGGAAAAAAACGAGGCCGGCGTGACGCCCCTCCTCGTGCCGGAGCGGCAGCTGGCCTTCCGGTTTGAGAAAATGCTCTGAGGCTGGGCTCATACGGTTTTGGCTTTAGGGTTTAGGGTTTAGGGTTTAGGGCTTAGGGTTTTGGGTTTAGGGTTTAGGGTTTAGGGTTTTGGGTTTAGGGTTTAGGGTTTAGGGTTGAGGCTGGGCTCAGACGGTTTTGGCACTGAGGGCTTCGTCAAGCCGGCCCCAAGACGCTGGAAGCACAGTTCGAACACCGAAAGCCCACATTGAAAGGCTGAAAGCTGCCACCCTCCAGGACCTTGAAAGCTTAAGCCTTGGAGACCTAAGACCCCCGAAACACCTAGGCAAACCCTGAACCCTAGACCCTGAACCCTTAAATTAGCCAAAACTCTCAAACCCTGAACCCGTCATCTCCCCCAACAAGAAACCGGAGGTCCCAGCAGCGCCTTCTTTGCCGAAGTGTTGCCACCTGCGGCGGCCTCGGCTGCATTGGATTCTACGGCTTAGTTGGGAAGTGTTGGTAATTCAGTTTAGGGTGCAAGGCTGAGGGCTTTGGCTTTATGGTTTCATTTCGGGCTTAACTCTGAGCCCATAAACCAGATTTTTGACCCTAAACCCTAAACCCCTGATGCTCGCATCGCACGTGCACTGAGCCGGCAGCCCGTGTTCGTCGGGAGGTCCGACAACGAGAGCCGTCCCGGCGGCCTGGTCGCGGCTTTGACGGGCTTGCAGTTAGGGCTTAGGGCTTAGGGTTTAGGGTTTAGGGCTTAGGGCTTAGGGCTTGCCCAGTATCGCGTGGCATCCTAGGGAGTCAAAGTCGGAAGGATCTTATGACTTATTCAGGGCTTCTGCGAAAACCCACAATGATCCGAAGCTCCACACCTCAAGCATCGAAAGCTCATGTTGGTCATGAGGTTTCATTGCTAAGTCTCGGGGCGGCTTAGTCTGAGGTTCTACTTGGCTTAGTCAGGTCTTGCCAAGACAAAACCTTCTTAAAGGAACCTTAAACTGGCCCCAAACCATAAATAGTCCCTATTAAAGGAACCCTAAACCCTGAATAATCCCCTTGAAGGAACCTTAAAGGAACCCTAAACCCCGAAATAATCCCCTTGACGGAACCATTAAAGGAACCCTAAACCCCTAAATAATCCCCTTGAAGGAGCCCTTAAAGCAACCCTAAACCCTAAAGAATCCCTAAACGGAACCCTTAAAGGAACCCTAAACCCTAAATAATCGTAGCTGTTAACGGAACCCTTTGGGCACTCTCAGCCAGTGGCATCCGCGGCCCTTGAGCGCTCCGCACGGAGCGCCCTTGGCACGGCGCCGGAGCATCCTCGCGGCAACCGGGCTGTTGGGTTTCTGCACGTTTTTAGAGTTTAGGGTTTAGGGTTTCTGGGTTTAGGGTGAAATTTATAAGGTTTTCAGCATCGCGTGCAAAAAAGGGCTTCAAAGGGGTATAGGCTCAAGGAAACATGTAAGCTTCGACTAAAAAAGGGCCAGGGATATCTGGGGTGGGAATGAAGTTGTTAGCAGTATCTAGCAGTCAGTAGTCTGCTCGCCGCATCATGGTTACCTTAAGTAAGCTCCGTAAGATAACCAGGCTTATCTCGGATGTTGGAGTGCGCGGCTCTAGTGGCTTCGGAGCTTAGGCTGCTAGACTTTCGGGTTGGGCGTGTTGTGGCTTAGGGTTATAAATTGCTGCACTGATCCGTTTCGGTTTGAGTTTAGAGTTCATGGGATCGGGGAAGGCCGAGAATAGTCCAACAAAACTCCAAAGCCTAGAAGTGCACAGAAGAACCCCCTAGCTAGGAGCCTTAAACCTCCGAAGCCCAAAAACCCTGCACCCCAACAGAACCCTAAACTGCACCCTGTAACACCCTAAAGCCCTAAACCCCATCACCTAAGTGCCCACACATTAATAGTAATAGTACTAGGAATTGGTAATTAGTAATAGTAATAGTAGCAGTCATAGTCATAATCATAATTACTAATGTAATAGTCGTAATAGTACTGGTAACAAATAATACTAATAATCATAATAGTAATAGTAAGGCCTCAACGAACGCCACATAAACACCAGAGCTCAGGGGCGCACCACTGCTCCAATGCGGCCCGCTGCCCCTCGGAGAAACTCCTCTCCAGGACCTTGGTGCTATGGATGCTTTAATGACAAAAAAAGGATTCAGGGTTTATGGTTTAGGGGTTTAGGGCTTAGGGTTTAGGGTCGGATAGGTTTTTAAGGATGAGTGTAAGGTGCTTGATCACGGGTTTCGGGATTGGCTTCGGGATTGGGGATCTATACGTACGGTTGGGGTTTATAGGTCTGGGGCTTCAGGGGTTCCTCTAGCTGGCAGAACAAGCTCGAAAATCCCTAAGTGGCACATATATATATATATATATATATATATATATGAATACACTTTCTTACGTATGTATTTCTTTATATTTATGTGTGTTTTTATATTCTATATATTACTTTTGTTCAAGCCCCATAGCCTTTTAAGTCGCGGGCGAGGCGTCGGCCGTCTTTGCCCAAACGACTTAGCTCGCGAAAGAGACTGCCTGGAGAAAGGGTGGCTTTCCGGTTTAGAGCCTCAGGGCTTGAGGGTTTAGGCTTCAGGCCTTTCGAGTTTATAAGGCTTTCGGGAAAAGGCTGTGATGGAAGTTTGGGCTTTGAGGGTCTATGCCTCCTGTCAGGGCTCAGAACTCTGGAGTTGTTGGGCGCAGGATTTAGGACTCCGAGTATTTGTCTCTTCATGACGTCTCACGCAGGAAAGATGACTGTTCAGTGATGAATACGTGTTGGAGTATCACCTAGGCTCCCGATGCCCTCACCTAAGCGCCTAGAGGGTTAGTGCAGGATTTCGGGCGGGGTGTCGGTCGCGTTTTATGTAGAGACCCCAAACCATGACGGCATGAAGGGAGGGTACCTTGCACTGCACCATCATAAGCCCCAGTTTGAAGCACAAAGCTCCTGGCCCGTACCCCGACATCCAAACTCCCAGAGCAGTAGAACACAAACCCAAAAAGCCAAAAGCACTTCAAGCCTTCCCACTAAACCCTGGAAACCCATTAGGTTTAGGCGTCTAGGTTTAGGGTTCCGGCAGCGAAAACCCCTGAATTGCTCTACACACCACCGAGCTCCCGACTGAGCAAGACGTCACCTTGGCGCACAGAGGCGCTGTCCAAATAAATCCGAAAGGGCCGCGTGGCTTTTAACGAGTACCTAGACTCGATGTTACATCAGAGTGCGACTGCAGCAGCGGCATATTATGCCAAAGCCCGAAACCCGAAAATCCCTTCTATTACAACCTCCCCAAACGGTTAAACAAAACGAAATCCCAGGCATCAGGCGGCGCTGCGTCCAGCTTCGGAAGCGGCGAGTAGTAGGGAGGGAGGTCCCCAAGGCCTGCGAAGGGCGGTCTGCTCTGCGGGGTAGGGCTTCAGCCTGTTAAAGGGTATTCCAACTTGCCACCTGTTTTGATGATGATGATGATGATGATGATGATGATGACGGCCAAGCTGAGGCCTGCCAGCTAGGTGCATTTGGCGATGGCGCATGCAGGAGCCGAAGCCACGAAAAACATCAGAAAGTCCGAAAGATTCACAAGAGTGCTGTTGAACTAGTTTAGCCGCCATGCAAACCCGCAAGCAACCAGTCCCCAAACAGCTGCGAACATCCTGCGAACCCTGGAAAAAGCAGATCTACGCCAAAGAGGGGTTTAGGGTTTAGGGTTTAAACACCGAAACTCGACCTGATAAAAACCCCTTGGCCTGGCTCTTTCCAGAGATCTCTGGCATTTCGCCGGCCGGGTCCATTTATCCTCGCAGGAGGGATCCTATATCCCTCTGTCAGGAATCCCCCCCACTGCAACCCCAACATAGCCCAATAAAGTCGCCATCTTACATACCAGACCTTGATTCGTTTCAAATTCCACCCTTCACCCCTGCACCCTCAAACCTCTTGCCTGTTGGCTCAATCGTCTGTAGCCTCAGGCCTAAGGCTCCTGGGTTTAGGGTTTAGGGTTTAGGGTTTACGGTTTAGGGTTAAGGCTCCTGTTCTAGGGTCTTGGAACCTCCATGCAGGCTGAAAAAAAGTCGCAGCATGGCCTCGACGCGCGAAGTTTAGAAGCTCTGCACTGAAAAGCTGCTTGAACTTCCGATGCCCCGCCCGGAAAGATCAAAAAGCAAACAAAAGTCCTCCTTCGAAGGCCAAGCCCTAAGATACATGGCTCCCCAATAAGAACCCTGGAATCCTAAACGTCAAAACTCCTTGCGGGCCGGGCCTTCACTCTTCTTTTTCTTCCTCTTCTTCCTCGGGCCCAGAGGCTGTCAAGGCTTTAGGGCCGCACGCCGTGGACGAAGAGAAGTGGGGCTCTGAACCCAAGTTGCTCCCCATCTCTGGGCGGGGGCCCGAACTGTCTTAAACAAAAACAGCCTCTGAGGTCTTTGGGTGTGAGGATCCTGCACTTCGGGAGTCGGCCTAGGAAAGCCTGGGCTCGCGGCTTCTTCTTCTTCTTCATGTTCTTCCCATTCTTCTTCCTGCATGAAAGGCAGCTGGGGCCCGATGGCTGACAGAGGGACACGCTACGGCGAGTTGGCGTATTTAGGGCGTCTTGGCTCAAGATACCGTGGCGTACGCCACAACCCTAGCTTGGATTAGCTCCTGCGTTTCGCGGCTCTTGGGCGTTCTGCACGGCGGTTCAGGGTGTTCGCATTTGCAGATGCGCGGGCTCAGGCACCAAACCCTGGAACGTAAAGACTGAAAGCCCTAAACCCGACACACTGGACCCTACCAGTACACCAAGCGCATTCTCTCCGTCGCCCTATCTAACACACAGCCTAAACTGAAGATCCGACCCTAAACCCAAAACGCATCTCCTAAATAACCCTCACTCCTAAACCCCTAGACCCTAAACCCCTAAACCCTAAACCCCTAAACCCTAAAACCCTACAGCCCTGAACCCTAAACTCGAAACCCGGGGGGGCCTCAACGGCCTCTCGTGCCTTGCAGTGCGTAGACCTCGGCAGATTGGGGCTTTCATGGCTTTCGATCCAGGGTTAAGGGCTACATAGGGTCACCAAGGTTCCAGGGTTGCGAAGAAGATGCGGAAAGCTAGCGTGCGGGAAGTTGAGAGCTCAGGGAGTGTTGCTTTCAGGGTTCTGGGAATACGGCTTTCACGCTTCGGGCTTCAAAGTATCGGGGGCTTGAGACGTCGGGTCTCCTGACCTCATACGGGAAGACCGAGTCCCGGACTGGAGTCGCAAGATAGCTGTGCTGAGAGATTGTCCTGCTTGATGCACGGCAGGGATCATAGCCAGCGAACCCCTCCCTAGGCAATCTAGAATCTAGAAATCTAGAACTAAGGTTGAGTTTATGGTTTAGGGTTGAGGCGCGGCAAGCACAAAAGAGCACAAAGAAGAAGAACGAAGGAGGTCGTGCTTGCTGCCTCCTGGCCTCGATCGGGTCACGGGACCGTCTCTCCGAAATCCGGAGGCAAAAAGAAAGCTCGGACGGCCGGACATGCGTGCCCGACATGGTGGTATAAATACTGGGCAAAAAACCACCAGCTTGGGCTTAGTGTCTGGAGATGCTGAAGGTTTTTAAACCCCCTAAACCCTAAACCCTAAGCCCTAAACCCTAAACCCTAAGCCCTAAATCCTAAACCCTAAGCCCTAACCCCCGCCTTCCTTGATCCCCCTCCCGGCTCCCGATGCCCTCACCTCCCTCCCGGCCTTGGAGAAGCATGGACATGGCGAAGACAGGGGGGAAGTCGAAGTGGAGACCTCGGACCGGGGAGCGGTCTGCGGCTTTTTGTTGAAAGGTGATAATAAACTCATAATAACTCACTCAGTTTACATTGAGATAATTCAGGGTTCCGTATGGACTTCGAGTATGTTACGACATCTTTCCGGTGCAAGCAGAGTGGATTACCAGTAGTATTCTTCGAGATGGTCTGGGGTGGGTCTGGGGTTACCGTTTCAGGCTTTCGTGATTTCTATCTCTCTCCAAACCCGAGGTATCCGAAGTTCCTCAACCGTTCCGCGCCCCAACACCCCGAAGCTTACAGTTCCAGAGCCTGGGCCCTGGGGCTTATGCAGAAACCTGCTTGGGCATGTGGAGATGTGGTGCCAAAGGATCTTAAGGCTACTGTCGATGATATATATCCTGCATTATGCCTCAAGGACCCTAAACTCTGGAAACTATGGTATATTCCTTCTCATGGGTAATGCAGGATGCATATCATCAACCGTATGATAGGTTGGAAAAATCCCTAAACCCTAAACCCTAAACCCTAAACCCTAAACCCTAAACCCTAAACCCTAAACCCTAAACCGAAGACCAGGTGTGAGGCGGAGGGCAGCTCGCAGCTGTCGAAGTGCAGGCGCACGCGGGTTGCTTGGAGCCAGGAAAGTCGGCCCAAGGGCTGTAAAGCTTACCTATAGGGTTTAGGGTTTAGGGTTTAGGGTTTAGGGTTTAGGGTTTAGGGTTTAGGGTTTAGGGTTTAGGGTAGTCTCCATTGTAGTTCCCTTTTTTTGGTTTAACCAAATATATATGTACGAGTTTATAAGGTATCCCGAAAAAGGAACTACAATGGAGACTATAGGTAGGGGGTTGGGAAGAAGAGCTGGGCACGGGGCTCAGGAAAACCAAAATAGCCATCGATTGGGCATAAGCCTGAGGTATACGACGCAGCATCCTAAACCCCGATACCGTAGATCCGGAACCCCTTTGATGCTCTAAACCCCAGAGCCTGCATCGCACTAGTTGGACCCAACATGACACGAGCTCCCTCACAGGTGTCCTCGGATGCGATGCCCCGTCTCTTGCTCACGCATCCGAGAAGATACCCTAAGCTCCTCAAGTTTAGGGTTTATAGTTTAGAGCCCCAACTCCCAAAGTGTCAACCCGGCTGATACCCAAACTTGGGCCCAACGCCCCGAAAGAAGCCCCGTGCCGCCTTCACCACTCCGCAACACCACTTCCCCCCCGTTTCAATCCTTACATGCGCAGGGGGCATCGGTCCCTTTCTGCTCCATCGCGCAAGCTGGAGCTACAAAGCTGGGGGCGCTTCCTCTTGGCATCTTCCGAACTGAGAAGTAGTCCTGCTGCGATTCGAGCATCTACATCTGTCAGGGTATGCAATAGTATACGGCTTAGGGTGTGTAAGTCTTACAAGGGTACGGGCACGGAGGTTCGAGTCCGATTCACCTTTCAATCCCCTGGGTCTCTGAATTTCCATGATGTGCTGCTCAATCGGATCCACAGCCAAGCCCTTCACAGGGCCGAGCCAAGGGGTCGTCCCGTCACTTTTTCTTTCCGTCCGCTGGCGTCACGCAGCTTTGGCTGGAGTCTCCGAGGCGATGGCATTGGGACCTTCCGGACCTCAGGGCGTGCTCGCACTTTTCGGGGCTTCTGGACGGAGCCTTCCTGTTTCAGAAAACTCGCTCAATCCAGGAGAGTTCCTGGAGTTCCCGGAGCGGGCACTTGCAGCTGGCAGTGGAGGACTCATGCAAATCTGGCTTCAGGGCCGCCGAGCACACGGCCTGGGGGGCTCAGGATCTGAGATTCAATTTGTGTTGGTGACGGCTTGCATGCAGCTCTATAATGGCGCCAACTTCTCCGTGCCTGCTAGTTCTAACGCTTTTTAATGATATACGTGTAAAGCGTTTCTGGTCTATGCTTTTTAACTTGTATCCACGCTTCCCCCAAGAAAGGATTGGCCACCCATGCCCGCTTTCTATCGCACCCAACTTCCCCTAAAGAAAAAGGATCACCGCCCCCGGAACTCTCCTCCCACCCTGCGAAGTTCCGCACTCAGGGCCGGGCCCTCTTCGAGCGCTTGGGCCTGAGAGCGGCGTAGAACTTCGGGCTTTTTAGGGTTTTCGGGTTTGGGGCGCAGGGGGTTTAGGTTTAAGGGGCCTGGGCTTGGCCTTCAGGGTCGGCTCGAGATGAGAGCAGGGATATTATGACAAAGCATGAAGCATCTTCACGCGTCGATCTTGCTGGACGCGCTCTGACCTGTCAGCTTCTGTGCAGGGTTCCCTCAAAAATCGAGGCCGAGCCATGCCGTGCCTGGAAGAGATTCTACCACGAGCTCTTTGGCGGGCACTGCGCGCCCCACTCAACATTGCTTGCTGCAGCTTCAAAGCTTGTTTGAAGCAACCTCCCTTTATAATCCTTTATACCCATCTCCACCCACAGAGCTAGCAAATATAGATGCATCTTGGCCAGGTTTATTATACTGAGAGACGACTTGGATCATGTAAAGTGGGGCCGCGTGCGCTGCACTCGAGCGACTCCGGCGACAAGCCAAGAAGCATCAGGCACAAGCATGCACGCAGGCATCCGTGCGCTGACCCCCTTGACCGCACATCGCCGGAGTCCGTGAATTCACAAAACAGCAATAATTAATCACAGCTTCACCACATAAAAGTCGTGCAGCTAAGGGCCTGAATCAATCCATACGCCTGGGCCTAGTGGCCTAGTGGCCTAGTCCATGTACTCGCCCGCCGTGATCGGGATGGAGGCCCTGCCGTCCATGCTGTCATCCGAGGGACCCGGGCCTCCCTGGCTCCTTCCGCCACGACGGATGGGCGGCTTCTTCTTGTGGCCCAAGCTGAGGATGCAGGTGGGCCGAGAGAAGACCGCCACGGGGAGGTCCGGCTCGAAGACGATCTTCAGAACCTGGCAGGCCTCACGCCGAAGCACGACGCTGCTGAGGGCCGCCACGTCGCCGGAGTCGAGCATCACCAGGTCGCCCGCCTTCAGCTGGCCAGCCGCAAGGTAGAGGCTCTCCTCCACCTCGCCCTTCGGG